CTGTAGTGCCTTGTGTGATGTGTCGTCGCTCGTTGGTAAAATTCGTCAACAAAACCTCCGCTTCACTACACACGACATTGACGATACCTCTGGCAATTGCGACACCGCGAGAGAGTAGAAGCGTCAATACTTGTTCAGCGATTCCTTCTCCAGTATTCTGCTCGCTGCACGTGACTGAAACAAGGCGGCACGATAACGGAGGTACGGTCACATCGTCAATGACTCGTAGGGATTTTCGATGTAGCGCTGCGCTTTGATCCGCTGAAAAGGTCAGTACACCGTCCGGTATATTGATGATGGCACCATATTCACGCAAGAAATCCATCCCTAAGATTGCCTGTTTGCAACACTCAGAAAGAATAACGAAAGTTGCGACGAAAGATGCATCCCCTATCTTCATTCTTGCAGTGCACTTTCCGGTAGGTGCGAGTAGCTGCCCTCCAGCTCCTCTAATCTGCGGTCCTGTCCATTCCATTCTAACCTTCCTGAGCGTGTCTGCCAGACTCTCACTCATTATTGAGAAGTCCGCGCCAGTGTCGACCAATGCCATGACGTCATGTCCGTCAATCGTAGTTGCAACTTCGGCAGTAACAACCCCATCTTTCGTCGATTCATTGAAAATGTGTCTCTCTTCGCTCGGCAGTAATGGGGGATTTTCAGCACTTCGACGATTTGCAACCTTCCCCCCTGAGGTCGCTGCTTTTAGTTTCCCCGGCGTGGACTAGGAGATCTCCCTCTTGGCATGTCAGTGGTGCTCCGTCTAGAGGATGGAGAATAACGCCCAGGAGAGGGTGAGCGTGACCGAAACCCAGGAGGAACATCCCGCGGGGTCATGACACTCGTGTCGACGTTAGATGTTCCGTTGAAATGGCGCCGAGGAACCGTAGAAGGAAACCCTTGGTACCCTGCGGCGCGATACAGGCAATACCGAACGATGTGGCCTGCTTCCCCACAGTGAAAGCACAGGGGCCTATGATCAGGGGTACGCCAGATGTCAGTTTTGCGAAGTGGTGGCCGCCTCGGCATCGAAGTTTCTCTGTAGTACCAAGGCGCTGTCGGCGGATGTTGCTGGTGGTACTGATGTGGTGTCGGTACGTTCGCTGGCTGTCGGCGGACTACGTCTGCATAGCTTGCCCTGGGAGTGCTCGTGTTCGGCTCAGGAAGTGAGAGCGCTTGCCTGATCTCCTGGCGTACAACTTCCGTTACTGAGGCGATCGCGCAGTCATTCGGTTTGGCGACGAGTTTCTTGACCTCTTCTTGTACGATTTCTCGTATTAGTTGGCGCAAAGAACCTTCGTCGGGTGTTGTTGCTGTGGTAGAGGCTGTCACGCTGATCGGTGCACTGTGGGTTGGGCGGTCATACTGGCGATAACGTAGATGCAGTGCGCGTTCGATAGATGTCGCCTCCTTGGAGAATTCATCCACACTTGTAGGCGGGTTTCGTACGAGGCCAGCGAACAGCTGCTCCTTAACGCCCCGCATGAGGTGGCTAACCTTTTTGGCTTCGGGCATGTTAGGATCTGCTCGACGAAATAGCCGCGCCATGTCCTCAACAAACATCGTAACGGATTCATTTGGTTTCTGAATCCTTGACTCGAGGAGACGCTGTGCAATTTCTCGTCTTTCAGTGCTCGCGAACGTGTCGAGGAACTTCTGCCGGAACTCGTCCCAAGACGACCACACGCGATTCGTGAACCACGTTCAGGCTCCGCCTTGAAGCGGAAAATAAACGTAGCCCAATTTCTGTGTGGTGTTCCAACCGTTAACATTCGCTGTGTGCTCGAATTCCTCGAGCCAGTCATGTGCATCCTCATATGCGTTTCCGTGGAAGTCAACCGGAAGTCGAGGGTTCAAAACAGTCACCTGTGTCGTGCTTGGGCTGGACATGTTGGGGCCAGTGCTTCCAGGTGCCGTCATGCTTTCTGGCACAGTCACGCTTTCCGGCAATGAACCAAACTCCGGGCTGAGGCCTAACAGGCGCCGGCTGCTGCGGTGAACGGGGGTGTCGATGCGCGGAAGTCTTTCTTGACCAGATGCGGGGCTGTTGTCAGGCGTCCCGAACATGTACCCAGCGCCTCCACCAGTGTCACAATGCAGAAACAGCAGCAGTCGAATCCAGGGAACTCACTTTAATTGTATTAGAATACTGGTAAACTGATCAGAAGAGAACCTCGTCTTCTTCACTCGCTGCGTGTGTTCTTCGTTGTTCTCTTCGTGCTGTATATTCAATGTGGCAATATTATGAATAGAGTTTATTTTATTATTAAACAATGAATAGTATTTCAAATCAGCACGCAGTAAAGAGCACAAGATTCGTTCCTTTCTGCTTCGCCTACAAGCCAAGGCACATTGGAATAAAGAAATAGATTATTTAACGATTAGTCGGTGTACACATTGCTTATCTGGGATAGGTCAAGTTCTTTCCAGAGTATTTTAGCACATTCTATCTAACAACTCACTAGGAACGACAAAGGTTGACGCAGTTTTTCCTTGAAGTCGTCAACCAAACTTGATTCGTAGAGTCTCCACGAGCATGTTCAGCTTCATTTTGTTGCGGATATCAGTTTTGGTCACGTTTGCACAAGAGAATATGCGATCGGCATTGTCATTAGAAACTGAAAGTGTCAAAATTCTTAGTGCACCCTGCGTCAAGTGCGGGAAAGAGCATTCACCAAAAGTGTGCTTGTTGATACTGCTACGTTCCAAAATGTCAAAGATGATGTGTGATCAAGTGCAACACAAATTTTCTGAAGCTGCTGTATTTCTGACTTCACCTCGATCGAGCAACATTTGAAAAAAATGCAGTGGCAGCTTCATTATGCTTTTGTCGTTCTTCGTGCTGCTGTCTATGTCATGCCGATTGATGGCATGCAGCCTTCGTAGTGCAAAGGAGGCATTTGAAAGCTGCTGCTCTAGTTCTATCGTTATTTGCTGCAAGAACGGAAAGCAGCGCTCTCTCACCACCTCTTGGTGTTCTACAAGGGCTAGTGAAAGCTCTTCTTTCAAGACATTGTCTAAGTTCGCTACCTCTGGTTGCAGAAATGTGGACTTTACCTTCACCAGGTCTAGTGATAGCAGGCTCGCTGTTAAGTTGTGCCTTAAAACTGATGGGTGCAAAATTCATCGCAGAACTTCCAATGTAAGTTTAAAACTCTTGAAAGACAACCAGTGGGTCGGCTGAATTTGTCTGGAACATTTTGTTCACCCGTCTTATGCTATGTAGGACTGGGGCAAGAAACACAAGCTAGCATGATTCCTTCTCTCTCCATACATCTCTTGCAATATGTGCACGTTGTAGCTACAGTCTTCTGCCTTTTAAAAAAACTGTTTGAGTGCTTGGTACTGCCCCGAAATTCTTTTAATCCAGTCAGCAATAGCAAGCCATCTTGTCTATGAAAGAGATTAAAGTTTTGACAGCAGCTCTGCACTTTTATCGTCCACTGACAGACTGGCATTCTCTCTTTAAACACCTTGCTGACAGCTGCTGTGTGCAAAAAAGTTGTACATTTCTCTTATCGAGTGCTCGACAGCAGAGGGAATTGTTTCCATAAATTTGGACGCCACAAGGTCCAGGCTGTGGCAAGCGCATTTTACCAAGACCAATTTCTTGTCCTCAGGAAAATAACTGAAGAGGGAGGGAATTGTGGTTACCACTTATGGAATTCGCCTTATCGGTACAGAGTCCAAGACAGTTCTTGGCTGGCAGACTGTGCTTGTCTGAAGTCTTCATTACGGTATCATGAAGTGTTTGCGCTGTTTCGTGAGACAGCTCTACGAGATCAGGCAGCGTGGTTGCAATCTTGTTTTCTGCTCAATTCAGAAATCGCACCACAATGCACAGTTGCTTTGTCCTAAATATATCAGTTGATTCATCTACTATGAGCGAGTAACTGACGCCTTTCAGTTCTTTCCTCACGCTCTGCATAAAATGTGTGAGGAAAAAAACAATTATAATTATAGCAGTGCACTTCGTTCCGTGCAGCTCAAGATCCTTGGAATTCAGAATGAAGAATCTCGCTGAGCTCATCTACAGCATTTATATACATGTGCACGGCAATGTACAAGGCAATCCTTGACTCTCGACGAGCCTTTTCATAGTTTGTTGACCAAAAGCGACTAGAAGCTGTGCCCCGCCGCGGTGGTATAGTGGCCAAGGTACTCGGCTGCTGACCCGCAAGTAGTGGGATCAAATCCCGGCTGCAACGGCTGCATTTTCGATGGAGGCGAAAATGCTGAGGCCCTTTTGCTCAGATTTGGGTGCACGTTAAAGAACCCCAGGTGGTTGAAATTTCCGGAGCCCTCCACCACGGCGTCTCTCATAATCATATGTTGGTTTTGGGATGTTAAACCCCATATATCAATCAATCATCAAATTGACTAGAAGCTTCAGCAATTATCTTTGCGTACTTAAGATCACTGCAGACTCATGATATTTTTTGGTTTCCGCGTGCTTGAGCAGATTACTGTAGTGGGGGTTGAATGTTGCAATTGCAGTAGGCGGCTGTTCTATTGTCACAAGGTGAAGGCTAGCCTGTAACACATGGTTTTAAAAAATCCTATGAAGCCCGCCGCGAAAAGAAAGGCCTGAAGTATCATTTTTATTCAGCCTACCGCTCAGTTTCTTGTCCTTTCTCCATTATTCTCAGAACGTGCGCTTCGTGCTGGCGTGTTTTTCCATGACAGATGGTAGTCTTCACATGCTGCAAGTGCAAAGCAGAAATTCTGCTGGTTACACAAGTGTTTTCGTGCCGATATCGTGCTTCTCATGTCCTAGCGATACGCCGTGCTACACTGCCCACATGGCTGTGCCTTAGCGCATGACTTAGGGGCGCGACAAAGAAAGTACGTTACATGTGCGTTGTGTTCATCAGGTGGCGTACAGCATCAGTAGTGAGTGTCTTTAGCAGTGTCACGAGCGTATAATAGCCTGAGCGTGCTAGCCACGCACGGGTGGCCTACATGCCAACATGCCCGTGACCTCCTCCCTCTGTTTTTTTCAGCTGTTCCATGCATAGGGATCTCGTACGCCTGTCAACCCACTTGCCTGAGGGATCCACCTACGCGCATGAGCCAAAATGGCAGCAAAGCTTCGAATCAATGGGTCAGTCTTTATGCTTGCTTGCTGTTTTGTTTGCAACAAATATTTAGAAATTGGCTAGTAAATGCGCTTAAATAAAAGTCCAAAGTAGCCAGAAAGTAGTCAAAGAGCCAGCCTAAAATTTTCATTGCCAGACGGGGTAGTTAAGTAGCCAATTTGGCAAGACGTAGCCATCTATGGCAACTCTGCGCGGCCCTGTGGCTCGCTAAGCCTGAACACGCTATGATCTCTTGTTAGGGTGAGTAGCGAGCTCACCACAAGGTTAGGGGTCTTGCTGCAATAACACTAGCAAGCAACGGCATTTCCACAATGCCTGGTCCAGCCCAGAGCTGACAGTTCCATGTGCCCAAATTTGTTTGTCCTAATAATGACCCCTGTAAAGTTGATTCGAGTACTTTATTTCAAAGTAGCACCTTTAAATTAGAAAACTTGCATTAATTTTTTGGAAAAGTAAGCGTTAGTTCTATTTCTCTAGTGGTCCACTAAATTTTGTAGCAGTCTCAAACTTCAACTTTTGAGCAACCAAAAGTACACTTTAATAATTTGGTTTGAGTTTGAAACGAAAAATTTCAGGCAGTGAATTCTGATGAAAGGTTTCACTAGTCACAAACCCTTGTTGCCAGGCACTGACTTACACGTTAATCACATAAAATTCTACACATAAGTAACGTCTCATTGTTAAACTAACATTTTTATACTATTTCTCATACCTGAACAATTTGAAATCGATTATTTGATTTACAGGAGTCTCCAGGAGTGAATATGTGCCATATTTCGCACCATGTCCTGGTGAGTCTGAGTGGCTGTCGCCGAAAAGCGTCACACCACTGTTTTTCGCCTTCACATCATCAAGCAGTGATGTCTGCAACTTTTGCCACATGTAAATTCTGCCTGAATTCAGCTCAAGTGAAGCCACATTACATATGCCTGCTTGTGTAGGCAGTGGTAAATAAATCATCACAGTACACTATTTGATCTGTTTCCCATGAGCCAGACATACGGCAAACTACAGCAGTGCAACTTTACGAGAAATGTCGGTAAAGAAGCAGCAACGCAAGAATTCTAACTCAGTTTCCTTGTTGCATTGCATTGATGCATACACAGAGGTGCCATCTGTACGTTATCAGCCACAAATTGGCAGTCACATTTGGATGGACGGGAAATGCCAAAGGGCCGTGTACTATGCGAGGTCAGCACACGTTAAAAAACACCAGGTGGTTGATAGTGCAGGAGCGTACCACTATGGCATCTCTTATAATCATATTGCAGTTTTGGGATGTAAAACATGAGATATTCTTGTCAGCCTCAAATGCAGTCTAAAAGGCATTTTATTGAGTTTTCAGGCTGGTAGAATTGCTGAAATAGAAAATGTTGCAAAAGGTGATATGGTTATCTTGCAGGTTTTCTTTGCCAACAAGAAACATCATAGGTTCTGGCCACTTTGCCAAAGATATGTATAGCATGGACAACACTGTTAGCGACACCTGAAAATGCCGAGCCTAACCAGAGGACCACAAATATAGTATTGCAGCCACTCACTCGCATATGTTGTTTGAAAAGAACAGTGATGTGACACTAAAACAATGAACACAAGCAGCCTTTCTGCATTGTGGATGTATACGTGTATTGCATATAACAAAGGAAGGGTACATACTGTTTGGAAAATGCACTGTACATCTGCCTCATTCATAACTATAGGGTTTTCAGATAAAGTATATGCATTCATCATGCTTTCTGCCCCTCCTCCTCAACTTTTGCTTGATGCAGCGATAACATACAGAGTGCAGACAGACTGTTGTCTTAAATTGTTGAACGAAGGGATGTCATTACATGCCGCATTCTCCTGAATGGATGCTCAGAACAACGCATATTTCGCACTAAATGTAAAGGCCAGTTGCAGAGCGTGACTGATGACAGGCGTGATACTGTCACTACAAATTCATTAGATCTACATCGAAGTTAATTTTTGTCGATGCTCAATGCTAAAGCTTCGTTTTGCAGTTGAAGTCAATTGGAAATAATTTTTAAATGGCTTACATTGCTTTTTAAAATTTTCCTCTGAAGTAAAGCGAATGGAGTTGCTTTCAGAATGATGCATTTGCTAAGGATTACAGTAAGATGTCTCAGGGCATACAGATCAAATGAACAAACAAGGTTAGCTACCCCCTTGTTTTTTATAATGCACTAGTGCAGAGGGAGAGGATTGCGCATGTGCATTGTTATACAGAAAGACTCTTGATGATCGAAAAGTCGTGCATTTACCTTGTGATAATGAAGTTCAGTACTGAAGTCCGGGGTTACCTTTGCCTCCAGGGCATTCAGGTCAACCGAGTTGGGCACCAGTCTAGCAACGAATTGCCGCACGCGGTCAAGTCATAGTTTGACCTCGGGAGGCGAAGTTCACTGTAGTCTGGCGGCACTGTCGTTGCCTTCCCTTGGTCCCTTCTATTAGAAATGCCAGCTACCTGCCGGGTGGTAACAATTCCTCGCAGTGGCAGGTGCCCACACCAGGTTCTGATGCAGCTTTGGTGGTGCAAATCTGCGCTCTCACAACACTCGCAAAGCTTCTCTTGCGCTGTTGGTCAACCTTGGCTTGATAGAGCGGACGATACAGATTTCGTCTCCACTGTCAACAGCGCCCGACGGACACTTTTTGAACTCTGCAGTCAGGAACGGAATGATGCGGGAGGTTCACATGTCTGCTGCCCATCTGCTTTCCTCCCGAAGCGATGCATTGTTGGAAAGGGGAGGAAGAGGGAATGCGCCCCACCATAGAGTAAAGTGTGTTTCCCAAATGGGATCCTGGTGAGAAGTGGGAGATCCCACTCATTCTGGGAATTATTGTCATGCAAAGCAGTAGGCAAGTAATGACCTATATAGCATTTTTTGCTTGTTCGAGTCGAGCAATATGAGTTCGACCAACTTCTTGGTGCATTTCGAGAAATGTGTAGCATGTTGTGGCCACGTCCATAGTGAGGAGTATTATTTTGGAGGTGAAGGAACCACTTGCTGAAGGCCTTTTTTGCTGCCTAAAATAAACACTTTTCCCAAATAGTTGGGAAATGGGTGTATATGAGAGAACAAATATTTTGAAATGTAAGAGGATCATATGACCATTATACAATGCTCATCAGAGAGGAGATTGTTGGACAAGTCGGGTGCCAAAGCTTCATGGTCCACAAAAACAAAGTTGGGAACAAATTATAATTTCTGATGTCCTGGTGATATGTTGCAAGACAACCAAGTCTCAAAGTCTCTTGGTAACTGTGTTTGCAAATGTTACACTGGTGATTCCGTAGGCACAAGATCACATTGTTTCAGTGAAACGCCGTTTGGCAGCAGATAGCACAAAGGCAACGCTTCAATTACCCTGTTTGATAAACTTTCTTTGAACTTGTGCATGCTGTCAAGTTTCTTGAAGTGTGCATAAAATAGGCAGGCAGACATTGGCGTAGGTGCAGCTTCTTGTTGAAGATATCTTCATTCAGCATCCTGCTTGCTTCCTAGTTGTCTGGGGCTCCTCCACCGTGAAGGAAGTTCATTGCATGATAGGTCGTTTATACACACTGCAATTGCAACCATAAACCTTCACAAAGTAATAGTTGCTGGGGCTTATGGATTTTGAGATGAAGCCACATATGCCAAATATAGGCTAGATTTCTCTAGGGCCTTATCTCTAGTTCATGGGCTTCCATGTGAAAAGGGCTAAGGGTAATTCAAACTGTTTGGAAACTTCACAGGCATTTGTCAGCAGACAGCATACTGGCAAAAATTTGCAAAGTAGAAGATTTAGTGGCTTCAAAGTGAACATTTTGCACCAAAGTGATGGGATTAATATGAAAAATACAAAGGTTCATTCTGCTGTGGTGTAGTAATGTCACCTCACATTTGTTGCTCTGGTGCAGTCTGGGGCAGCTACAGTGTTCTCAGTATTGTTTTAAGTGCAAAGCACGTTAGGGGCTCGGCTTGTTACCCATCAATCTTTATGGTGCATCATCACACTCTCAGTGAAATGCTCAGTACAGGCTTTAATAAGGCTAGCAGTGCTCGAACCCAGGGTAAAGTGAATGAACAATGTCTAAAATAATATAATAAATAAAAATAACCTAAAAGTAATTGCAAATATTATCTGAAATTAATAAAATGTTTTTTAAAACATGGGGCTGACTTCGGCGAGGCACAAGAGGGGGCGCCATCACCTCGCAGAGCTAGTCTAAGCCTCCCCCTCCTCCGCACCACCTATTCATGATGCTGTGTTACTATATGACCACATCAGATGAGAGAGACAGCCTGATGGAATTCACTGCAGACGATGCATAGCTCAACTGCCATAACGTGTAGAAAATCAATGAAGCTGTGGCTTTATTGACAACACTGTGGCTGCTGGCTTTGCACAAGCTGATGGCCTCACTAATCTGGCACTGCAATGACAGCTACAGCGGAACACATGCCAATGCTTCTTTCTTCAGAGACAAGCATAAGCACAGTAGGGATACTGCACTGAAATCTGCACAGCTGTCTGGTTCATTTGCATCATTTAGTGTGTGTGGTGTCACTTTACACATCACAATTTACCAAATGTGCAGGTGAGTGCGCGCTTCAAATATTTAAGCCATGGCTTGATATTGCAATGTATTTAGATGCTGTACTCAGTGACGCTGATAGAACATTGGGTATGTGATTGACAGAAGTCTCTAAACCATCATCATTTTGCTTTGTGATTTTCTTCGGGCAGTATTCATCACTGCTACGACAGATAGGCAAGTTGCAATTGCGCTGACAGGGTTATATTAATTTGCTCCCAAATATCAACCTCTTATGAAAATACAATGCTGGGAATTGAAAAATAGAGAGGATGGCATCGAATTGCTTTGTGGCTACAAAATCTTGTGAATCGTTTATATTTTTATCCATTTAGTATGCAGTGCTATTGTAAGTGATATTGTGCAAGATCCACACACAAAAAAAATCATGCAATGGGAATAAGCACGTGTAGTTATTCAGCAAGGGTTTAATTGTCAAAGCCAGTTTTGTTGCATGAGAGCACTGGTACGCTGAGAAGGTTCCACAATTTAATTTTGTGCAGCCTATACGAAAATAGGCGCTGTCATGTACCTTCGGATATCGTGTGACGACTCGATTCATTTTCTCACCCACCGCGGACCGCTACTTCCTAACTTTAGCGCATTGTAAGCACTCTAGCGCGTTGTAAGCGCAAAGTAACAAAAGGATGAAATAGGAGGACAGAAGTCTTGTGTCATACCAATTTGTTCTTGTGTTACTCTGTTTTGCACATTGTTTCAGCATTGTGATGTTATAATGTAGCTTATGTTTTCTTTAAGTACTGCTTTTTTAAATGGGGAATAAAGTGCCCACCTATGCTGTCTCAACTTGTCTTTCTGCAACACATGCAGCTGCCCAAATTACCAGTCGACATGCAACATCTAATAATACTTGCCGTTGACTTCCATGCTCCACCCTGGCTGAAGCGATATCAGTAGGGCTGCCACAGCTGGCGTGTATGAGCTGACAGGTGTCACATGGCCAGCATGGTCACTGTCGAAGGAATTCGTGAGCCATGTGGCCATGTGTGATGCTACCACTCCAACCCTCTCAAGTTCCTCACTCATGGAGCTTTGAGCAGACATGCCACCTCCTGATGAAGAGCAAAATAAGTGTATCAATCATCATGATAACAGCACCTTTTGTCCTACGTTTCCAGTTGCCATGCTGTTTTAAAGATGTCAAAAACAAGTGTGTGTTGCAGGGCGAGTGACATTCATAGCCTTCCGCACGATTGCAAACATAGATAGGTATTGTATATGTCCTGTATGCATTGCAATGTTTTACTTTGTGCTAGTATTTCAAAGCACTAACAACTCTACATTTTAATGCTACAACATTACTCGATTCCAATTGGCTAAACACCACATACACAATGACTCGAAGCAACTGATGGCATCACTAACTATAATAAACCTCATGCCACTCATTTAAAACTGTTGCAAAATATTTTAGTGGGTGTAATTTGTCAATTTAATTATTTGCTGCATGCACTGAAACTGCTCTTTCTGATTAAGTCTCCAAACAGGGATGCATTAAAGTAAAAATGTGCAAGGGCAAGACCTGGTAATACTTCGAAATATAAGGCTGAGCTTTTCTTAATACAGCAGGCGACAAGTACACACATGTAACTTTGAGATGTAGACCTTCGTACTAACGTAAAACATACATAAAAAGATCATTTAGTGCGCGTTCATTTGCAACAATAGAAACGGCTCCATTTCTACATTCGATTGGCAACATTTTTTTCTCATACGGAACACACTACAGAAAAATGAAATAACAACTCACCTGTCTTGAACAGTTCCCGCGTGTCGTCAGCCTTTGTACGGCGCCACTTTTCTTTTAGAATATCCCAGCACTTCTTTATCTGTTTCGCCATAGGGGGATACA